CTCCCCCAGTATTTGTGGAGGAGACCCTTACGATGTGCTTTGCCCTGACCTGTAATCCTGTGGAGGTTGTGGGCTGCATTTTGGGAGAGTGATGGAGGAGAAACCAAGTGGCCATCTGGTGTCTCTGAAGCCCATCTAAGTGGAGAAAACATGCAGCCTGTTCCAATTAGCTTTTGCAGCCGCAGGATTTTTCTCCTGGTGTAGTAGAGCTCCTCAGAGCCCCCACAATGGCAAGGCACTTAAACTTCAGGTGTCTACAGGGAGTTGAGGACCTTGAGTGAGAGAGGGAAGGACTGGTAGCGTGGATAATGGAGAGGAGGCGGTAGACGTGTTGACAGGGGAAGAACAAAGGATTCTAGGGAGCTGAAGGACAAGTTGGGGGTGGAAAAAAGGAAGCAGAAGTTAGGCGATGGTGATGGGAAGGCAGAGGTCTTAGAAGACACTGAGGAGGGAATTGGTCTTTGAAGGAAGCAGTGGTCTCTGAAAGTTTTTGTGGGAGGGACATTATTCTGTTTCTTTGTACCAAACAATAAAAGAAGTTCACTGTTTGGATGTGATCTTGGAGTCATGAGATTCAAAATCCCTACTCAGAATAAACAAATTTGCAAAGATCCCAAATTCCCCAAAGAGGCCATTGAAATTCTAAGGTTTTTTTGTTTGTTTTTGTTTTTTTTTTATTTTTATTTTTTTTGCTTTTTTAGTGAAATTCTGTCATTTTGAAGAGATTGGGTGAAATCAGTGTGAATAATGTCCAAGCTTACCTCACACAGGGAAGAGTGTGTGGAACTATGGTTAGATTGACAATTTCTCTTGATAGTGAAAGGAATACCTGTTGGTGCTAAGGACTTTAATCCAAGGTATGATATCCCAGGAGAGAGGCAGAGGCTTTAATCACACCCAGGAAAGCCAGAAGAAGGAGAGAAATAGAAGGAAGAAAAAAGACAAAAATGAAGAATAAAGCCCAGTCTTTACCATACTAAAACAGACACATGTTTGGAACACTGGACCAGGAGTGAGACTCACCGCTGTGGATCCCGACTTCCCATCCCAGCCAGGAAAGGACCCAGCATCTGCTAAGATGGCGTTGACCCTGGGGTGAAGAAAGCAAGATCCTGGGGGTATTTGGCATTCTGTCAGAGTCACAACGTCATAACTGTCAAAGAAAAAAAATGCAAAAAATGTAATCTGCACATTAGTTTGAAGGATTTCCTTAAGAAAGTTATTGCAGTAGGAAGAGAATATCATTATAGGAAGCTGCATGAAGACTAAGTCAAGAATGTCTCCGGGGAGGGGTGGGTGGGCAAAGCTTTTAAATGCAGAGACACCTGGGATAGGTGGCCATGGAGAGTAGGAGGTGGGGAGGTGAAAGCTGGTGTGCGAGTGCGTTCTTAAAACTTAATCTTCATCAAATATTGTGCTAACAGGGAAGTCAAGGCAGGAAGTATTGGTTTGTGGCTAAGCACATAGGGCGGGGTCTGCACTTGAGATGAGTGAACAAGTTTAAGCACAGAAAATATACATGGGTTTGAAGGCCTTGTGGTCCTAAAGTTTTATCAAGCTCAAAGTTTGATTAGCCTTGTCAGCACCCAAATTTTGGGGTCTCCCAAAAGTCACTATGATTTTTGTTCTTTCACCTTGTAAAAAGAGAAATGTTAGGAATAATGAGGGTTATTTGGTATGTTACTGATCATGAGTTTCATGGGAAATATTCTTAAATCAGAAGAAATGCCTAGACTTCCCTAGGTTAAATTTGTATGGGTAAAATGTTATTAAAATAAATATTTAAAAAATTGTATTCTGTATGGGAAGGTCCTAGACGATGATCAGTGCTTTTGCTGTCCATGATATGTTTCTATTTATCAGTCTTGGTGTTGCTTTGCCTATAAGACAAAAGCAGTATTGTATTAGCGGACATAATTTCAATTATTTTTAAAACACATTACCTTGGTTGTAACTTTACTTTTGAACTTGAATCTAGTGTATTTGGGGCAGTAGTATTCTATTGGGGGTTCACATCATTTATCTATAGAGTTTTATTAATTTACTACTGATGTTTAGAACCTACGTTAGATGTATTGGATCTATTTACTTGATAATCTTGATATATTGTTGGCATAGTCTAACTTTGTGCTAGGTGTACATGGCACCTAATGTTTTGGAATTTTTATATCTTATAATTTGTCTGTGAAGACGATGTTAATCTATTTTCATAAAATAGGTGTAATCTCTACTCTTCTTTGAAAATAGGCATAAATCTTTGTGTTTATACATATTTTGTCAACAACTTTTTTGGATTGACTTGATTTCATTTTGCATGCCACTGAAACAATCAGGTATGCTTGTAATTGCATTATTCTTGTAATGAATTCTCTTCAGATCATTCTCATAGTAAGTAAACAATAGATATTTCTAGTCTTTTGTCATCTACAGAGAGTTTGCATGTTTTGTTTTACTTCTGATGATTCCATGAAAGCACCTGGAATTGCTTCAACAAAGGACTAAAAGCCTGGTGAAGAAGACTGTGCCAGGTACTCTTGGGTACAGGCTTCAGATGGTATTACTTCAATAACTATGAGATCATACCAGTGGACTGAGTCAGGAATTCCAGACATCCAGTCAAGAAGCAGATGTGTTCATGAGATGACTAACCCAAGATCAAGTGGAACAGGAATTAATTATAAAGCACTGAATGAATTGAATAAACTGCATAGATATGGGCTTTGTTTGGAACAGTGCTGATGCTTTAATGCTCTGCTTTCTGATTGTAAGGAACCACTCTCTCTTTTCTGCTGAGATATTCATTACTCATAACAATTGAGTAGACTATGCTCTTGTAAAGCAAAAATGAAACCCTTATTTTTTCTGCTCTGACTCATCCTTCTAAATTTGGGGAATTTTTTTTAAGATTTTATTTATTTATTCATGAGAGACACAGAGAGAGAGGCAGAGACACAGGCAGAGGGAGAAGCAAGCTCCATGCAGGGAGCCCGACATGGAACTCGATCCCGGGTCTCCAGGATCAGGCCTTGGGCCGAAGGTGGCGCTAAACCGCTGAGCCACCTGGGCTGCCAATTTGGGGAATTCTTATTGAGGATTCCTGTTTTCATGGCACTCTAGTTATTTGCATAGATTCAGTAAGAATCCGTCCACCTTGTTATGAGGACAGAATTGGCTACACTGGTTATGCAATCAAGGCTGGCGTTGTCTACAACGTCACATTTGCAAGTGATGCTCATTTCAACGGATGTGACCAGACATTTTTCAGGACTAAGGTTGACTTTCTGGGGCCAACACTTACCAAGTCCTTCTTGGGAAAACTGGCCCAGTAACTGGCTTTATAGGGTTCTCAGCCTTATAGGTGAGCAAGGAAGGTCACTTCCTGGCGGGCTCAGGAAGCTTAGGACATTTTGGGGACCTCAGGAAGAGAGGACTTCCACCAAATCACTAGGTACTGCAGGTGAAAAATGATGGTGAAGTTGTGGCTTGGCTTCCTATCCTCAAGAGGCATTGGAAAGTCCAATCTGAAGTTCTTTATGAAAATGTCCTTCAAAGCAAAATAGAAGACCTATGTGGTAGCTTGTCATTCTTGCTGCATCTATGTAAACAGCTGGGCCATGTCTAATGAGATCAGCTTTGTTTTGTGATCAAGAATGATCTTTCTTTGAGATTGTCTTTGATCAATGGGAAGAAAGAGACTAAAGAGAGCATTTTGTGTTTCAATGGGAAACTATAGCATGCTCTTCTGGATTACCAGATTCTGACCCTATTCATTGTCTTTGGGCTATTTTACACCTCTATAAACTGCAGGTATCTGATGGATATTCAAACTTTGTCTTGTCTGGTAACCAAGGTTTCTCATTTCCTGTTGAAAAACCATTTTGGTGTTTACTTCTTTTTTTATTATTTATTTATGATAGTCATACAGAGAGAGAGAGAGAGAGAGAGAGAGAGGCAGAGACACAGGCAGAGGGAGAAGCAGGCTCCATGCCCCGGGAGCCCAACGTGGGACTCGATCCCAGGTCTCCAGGATCGCGCCCTGGGCCAAAGGCAGGCGCCAAACCACTGTGCCACCCAGGGATCCCCTCGGTGTTTACTTCTAAATTGAAGTGCATTTTCTCACCTTGCACAGCTTGTGAACTCTTACCAAATTTTCAGTTCTTCCAGGTTCCTTCAATATTTGGCTACAAACTCATCATAGCTTCAAAGCAAAGTTTTCAATTTTTCTGCCTCCTACTTGTCATTGAGTCATTGAGAACTAAAAATTGATTGCCAAGTTTTTGTTGGGACTCTAAAGTTGCCTTGTAACTGGTCTTTGCCTGTAAGATCTGAAGAGTTATTGCAAGCTCAAGTCTAAGAACTTTTTATAAAACTAGAAGGACTCATCATCCCAACTAACCATTCATGGTCCAGTTCTTTCCCTGGATAGTCCACTGTTTAGACTACCAAGCAAGTCTGGTGAAATTCTCAGGTTATCCATTCCTTACTGGAGTAGTAACCAATGCTGTGGACAACACCACCAATACAACTGGTGTCTCGGATTCAAAAAATTCAATGAGTGGTAAGAGACTGAATACAGAAACAAATAATGGCCAGACCGTATACAAAATGGAGCCCTGATCAACAGCCTCTATAGTAATTAGTCTAAGCAGCCTAGTATAACCTGATCAACATCAGTCCCAAATCAGGGCCTAGTCAATAATTGCCAGCTTCTCTAATTTTTGCTCATATTTTTCACTTAGGATGAACCATAGAAAGCCAAATATGTACTCTGACCAATCATATAGGATGGTCCACTTCTAGTTAGTCCTCTAGCTTCTGTAAGCCAACAGTCTCCAGTTAGGGCATTACCTGAAACCTTCCCCTTTTCTACTCTAGAGCTTTCCACTACTCTACCTGCATTTGAGTTTCTGCTCATCTCAGGTGATGGTGGTAACTCCTTTGCTATAGCAAGCTCTGAATCAATAGCATTTGTTTGTTTTTATTTCAGTGATTTTCATTTATTACTACAGCTTTCTCAGAGTTTCCATCAAGATATAGTTTGCACCGACCATCACCACGGCCTCCAGTTTTCAACCAGGCAATAGAACCCATTGTGCCTCACTGCTCACTGCTTGTCAAGTCCACAATAAGTGGTAAGTCAGCACAGACCTGAACTCTACTCTCTTCATGTTGATTTCTTTGGTCATTTCTTCTGAGTTTGGTACCCAGGTTTTGTCATCAGTGCCCACCCATTTGTTTGGCATCATTGGTGGAATCAAGCTATTCTTTTCATCTTTTTTCTTTTTTTTTTGCATTTGTGTTACTGACCCGTGGAGTACCGTCTAAAAGTGTTATATCTAAGAAGGAGAATCATAGTAGAACACAAGCATATGCTTTCTAAGCCTATTGCTCACCAGCCTCACAGACCTATGAATTTGCTTTTCTTGCCACAACTGCCCATTTGGACAAGTTTTGTTGTAGGTCACCAGTAAAAGTAGATGAGGTGCTGTTTCTGTCTCAAATTTTGGTCCTGAGGGCTTTTTTTGTTTTCCCTTTTTGATTCAGAAAGAGCATTCTCTCTGATATTCCATGTGTTAGATGGCACAGATTGTTGAGTTTGGGGTTTGAGATGTGAGCTGCAGAACCATTTCATTTCTACCAGCACTGGCAGCTCTCATGGAATCATCTAAATCTCAGTCTTCTCCTCCTCCGGGAAAGGAAAAAACAAAAAACTCCCTTCAATTTAGATCAATAAGAAAGGAAAATGTGTTCACTATTCTGGATTAGTTTTAAGCAAACAAAGTGAGTTACAAATATAGATGGTGAACCTCATTAATTCCTGGTAGATAATGAGTACTACTCTTTCTTTTTAAATTCTACCATCATTACTCAACCTCTTCTTCAGAGAAAACATAGCACATAAAAGCAGGTATTTAATTTTTTTTAAGTTATATTTTAATTTTTTTAAAATATATTTTTATTGGAGTTCGATTTGCCAGCATATAGTATAACACCCAGTGCTCATCCCATCAAGTGCCCTGATCCTCAGTGCCCGTCACCCAGTTACCCCAATTGCCCGCCCACCTCCGCTTCTGCAAACTTTTTTTCATTTCCCAGAGTTAGGAGTCTCTCATGGTTTGTCTCCCTCTCTAGTTTTTCCCACTCAGTTTCCCTCCTTTCCCTTATAATCCCTTTCACTATTTTTTATATTCCTCGTATGAGTAAAATCATGATGATTGTCCTTCTCTGATTGACTTACTTCACTCAGCATAATACCCTCCAGTTCCATCCCTGTCGAAGCAAATGCTGGGTATTCGTTGTTTCTAATGGCTGAGAAATATTCCGTTGAATCCATAGACACAGCTTCTTTATCTATTCATCTTTCGATGGACTCCGAGGCTCCTTTCACAGTTTGGCTATTGTAGACATTGCTGCTATAAATATTGGGGTGCAGGTGTCTCGGCTTTCCACTGCATCTGTATCTTTGGGGTAAATCCCCAGCAGTGCAATGGCTGGGTCATAGGGTAGCTCTATTTTTAACTCTTTGAGGAACCTCCACACAGTTTTCCAGAGTGGCTGCACCAGTTCCTATTCCCACCAACAGTGCAAGAGGGTTCCCCTTTCTCCACATCCTGTCCAACTTTTGTTGTTTCCTGTCTTGTTAATTTTTCCCATTCTCACTGGTGTGAGGTGGTATCTCATTGTGGCTTTGATTTGTATTTTCCTGATGGTAAATGATGCGGAGCATTTTCTCATGTGCACATGCGTAGGTCTTTGGTGAAATTTCTGTTCATGTCTTCTGCCCATTTCATGATTGGATTGTTTGTTTCTTTGCAGTTGAGTTTAAGAAGTTCTTTATAGATCTTGGATACTAGCCCTTTACCTGATACGTCATTTGCAAATATCTTCTCCCATTCTGTAGGTTGTCTTCTAGTTTTGTGGACTATTTCTTTTGCTGTGCAGAAGCTTTTTATCTTGATGAAGTCCCACTAGTTCATTTTTGCTTTTGTTTCGCTTGCCTTCATAGATGTATCTTGTAAGAAGTTGCTTTGGCCAAGTTCAGAAAGAGTGTTGCCTGTGTTCTCCTCTAGGATTTTAATGGATTCTTGTCTCACATTTAGATCTTTCATCCATTTTGAGTTTATCTTTGTGTATGGTGTAAGAGAGTGGTCTAGTTTCATTCTTCTGCACTTTTCCCAGCACCATTTATCGAAGAGACTGTCCTTTTTCCAGTGGATAGTCTATTTCTCCTTTGTCGAATATTAGTTGACCATAGAATTGAGGGCCCATTTCTGGGATCTCTATTCTATTCCACTGATCTATGTGTCTGTCTTTGTGCAAGTACCACACTGTCTTGATGATCACAGCTTTGTAGTACAATTTGAAATCCGACATTGTGATGCCTCCGGCTCTGGTTTTCTTTTTCAATATTCCCCTGGCGATTCGGGGTCTTTTCTGATTCCACACAAATCTTGAAGCAGGCATTTTACATAATTCACAGCCCTTAACTGTAACCCTTGTATCGTTGACTGAAAAATATTCCTTTTTTTTCTCTGTGCCATCCTTGGAAAGTTAATAAGGAAATATATATTATGCAAGTGGGTTTTGCAAACACACATGAGAGGAACTATTTCTTGGGATTTGAGAAGACTCCTCTATTTATAATCAAATTGGGTTTCTCTGGATATATTTGCCTTCTCTGTAATAGTCACTACATACTTCTGATAAAGATCTTGACACCATACCTAACACTTTATGCGCTAAAATTTCCAACATTGGAATTGGAATGGAATTGGAGGAGAACTATTACAATTCAGACAGACCCTATCAAACCATCACCCAAACTTTCCTAATATCCTTTGAGGCCAGACACAAAGGAAGAGCTTAAAGCTATTTTAAAAACCTTATATTCAAAGATCTCATAGTCTGTAGTAGCCTTGTAACACTCTCATCCTGACAAAAAAGAAACCATAGGATAAAGTTATAAATTGTTCAAGACTTCAAGACCATCAACAAAATTATTATCTTTTGTTTCTATGTAGTATGTAATTCAAATACCACCCGGTCATTTATTCTGCCTATAGCCACTTGCTTCACTGTGGTAGATCTTTCCCTTGCATTTTTCAGCATGCCTTTAGACCAAGAGAATCAACATCTTTTTGCCTTCACTGAAAAGGACAACATCCCTGGGAGGTCATGCTTCAGGGGTGCACGGAAGCCATCTATTATTTTTCTCATGTCCTTAATCAATCAAGATCCAAATTTCCCTTGCTATTCAGTTCTGATTAATATTATAATATAATATAATATAATATAATATAATATAATATAATATAAATCTTTTACTTTGTTCGGGGAACAAGGAAGCTTGTAAAAAGGATCATTTGCTTATTCTCAGCCTTAATAGGAAAAGAACACAATGTTTCAAAAGGTAGATGACAAATGCTTCAAAACACTGTCCTTTATTTAGGAAATGACCCCTCTAAGGTAGGGAAACACTCTCCCAATAGATTAAAGACTATCCAAACTTACTCTAGACCTCTTTCAAGGTGACAAGTAGGAGGATTTCTAGGCTTAACTGGAAATTAAAGGCTATGGGTGCCAAACTTTTCTGTGATTGCAACACTTCTTTATGAATTGTCTAAGTCTTCAGTAAGAGACTCTGATCTGGGAGCCCTAACAGGTCTTCTATACTCTAAAGAAAGTCCAACAATAGTCTCTTTCCTTAGGTGTTCCTAACTACAAAAGCCATTTCACTGAATTGAATTGAACTTGAATTGTGCATGAACAATTTCTACAAGCCCTTAAGGTTTCAACTCAATTTCATGGGGATCATCAAAAACCAGTTGCTTATTACTGACTCACCTTTGACCCAGCTGTAAAGGCTTTTTCCCTTTGACTTAAGGTAATCAGTGTCATGGCAAGACTTGTCGATGCTTCTGCTGAACTAGTTCTAGGCTCTCTACTTAACCTCATGGTTCCTCATGCAACACAGACATTGCTACTGACTGAGAACACACAGTACTTTTCAGCCAACTGGTTAACCTCTTAAGAGATTCTGTTACTCTCTTCTCTCACATCACTCTTCAAGTCTGAAACTTACCACTCCCCTGTTCCTAAAAGAATGGGAACGACATGATTGTCTCATTTCCCTTAGAGGGATTTCTGTACCTGGAAGAAACAACATATTATAGATCCCACCTAGAAATCTGATCTAGTATTATTTGTTGAGGGACCATTCTTCACCTGAAATGAGTTATTAAGTAGGATATACTATCAGTAATTTAAGAAGATCATTCTTTAGAATAAAATCCCCTACATGAAGTAAAATCAGCCCACATGGCAAAACTTACCGCACTTCCTAGAGCTTTTCAACTAGCTAAAGATCAGAGAGCAGACACGTATACACAGGTAGCAGATCTGCTTTTGGACAAGTACAAGACACTGGGATGCTTTAATCACAGCAAAGGGAGTTCTCAGCTCTGCTGGTTTCCTCCTAAAAATGGACAGCAAATTAAGAAATCTTTAGATTCCTAGAAGGATGGCTGTTATAAATATTGAGGCCTATGTAAAAAAAAAAGAGATAATACAGAAGCTAAAGAAAATGCTCTAGCAGGTCATTATGCTAAAAATGCTGCCTTAATGAAGGTTATGATCTTACCTAAACCCTCAAAGGATATATCTCTGGAGGGTTTCAAAGGGGTCATTAAAAACATCAATATATAGCATCCAATTTTTGAAAAAGAAGGATCTGGTTGCATCTTTCACTCAGATAATCTCTGGCACTCTCAAAATGGCCGCCTGGTTAAAGCAGATAAGTTAAAATGGGTATTAACTAAATTTCTTCATGAAACTATTCATCATGGAAGAGATGAAGTGATTATTATCTTAACATTGGTGAGAAAACTCTAAAAAGACAGCTGAGGTTATTTTCAAGTCATGTATCATCTATCAACAGCTTAATCCGGGAAAAACTGTAAAGGGGAGACACAGCCAGGACCCTCGGTGTCACTTTGAACACCTTCAGATGGATTTTAACTAGCTTCAACCTATATGAGATTTGAAAAGGTTTTAGTTATTGTATATATATATATATTCAGGATGTGCTGCAACATTCCTTTGCTGAAAAATTACAGGCATTATGGTCACTAAAAAGCTGCTTGATTTTGTGTTTTCAACCTGGCGCATCTCAGCTTTTATATCAAGAAGTCAGGATGCACACTTAACCGACAGCCTTGTAAGACAATTCTATAAGATGTTACCTTTACTTAAAAGCTATACTGTTCTTATCATCCACAATCTCCTTCCTGAAAAGGTTAAAAAGACTGATGGAAATTCTTAAATTTAAATTAACAAGACTTTCAGAAATCCTCGAGCTCTCTTCGCCAAAAGTACTTTCACTAGCTCTTATAGCTATGCAGTTCACTCCCTCAGGGACACATCAGATATCCCCCTATGAACTAGTGACTGCAAGATGCACATATTTGAGAATTTTATCTCCAATATTAGATTTCACCCTACTGCATGGTGACATGGCAAAATTTAAAAGGGACTCTTGTATTATACACCCAGTTCTATCATCAATGGTTAAGATGATACCCTAAATCATTTTTCTAAATCATCTCTTCATGATTTTTTTTTAAAGATTGTATTTATTTATCCATGAGAGACACAGAGAAAGAGGCTGAGGCACAGGCAGATGGAGAAGCTGACTCCCTATGGGGAACCTGATGCAGGACTTGATCCCAGGACCCCAGGATCACGATCTGAGCCAAAGGCAGATGCTCAACCACTGAACCACTCAGGTGCTCCTTTTTATGATCTTCAACTAAGATATTTTGTCTATTGGAAGATACATCAGAGGAAAACCACTTTGATCTAAATGGAAGGAGCTTTATCAGGTATGATTAATAACAAATAAAATAGTAAAATGCCAGAGAGTCAATGCTTGGTTTCATGTTTTATGATTGAAGAGATTAAAGAAGCAATTCAGAGTTTCACACAATTGGAAGGCTACTCTAATTGGGGAATTCACATTGAGGATATTCAGAGATCTTGTAAACACACATCTTCTTGGGAAGGAAACAGCTCACTGAATACCTTTGGAACAATAGATAGCTTCACATGATGAGTAGTTTCTGCCTTGAGTGTTGGACCAAGACCTCTGTCTGATTCTTGTCTTATTCTTGTCTGTTAATAATCATCCTTATTTCCTATAGACCCTTGGTTGTTATTCACACATAATGGCCTTTTCTCTCCTTTTTTTCCCCTCCTTATGTAATTATTAGGTCAGAACATATTCATTATAATTCCATCATTAGACTATCTCAAATAGTAGCCACTACCCTCAGTCTTACTGACAGCTGGATATGCCATCTATGACTGCATCCCTTTATAAAACCTCTGGGCAATTCTAGTCTCATCAGATGAGAGCATAAGGAATAGTCTAATAAGACTATAAGGAATGATGTTTCTATTTGCCCCTACACAGAAAAATGTCCATAACCTCAGTAGCAATTAGCCTGGTAAGCCAAATCACCATCTCTGCAGCAACTGTCCCAATAGTTAAATCTTGGTCAACCAACAACTGCCTGCTTCCCTAATTTTTGTTCCTCATTTCCAATTTAAGACCAACTATAAAAAGCCAAAAATGTTTCCCTAATTAGTTACATAGCATACCCTAATTCTAATTAGTTTCATCCCAACTTCTTCATGCCAACTGCTTTCTATCAGGGCATACCTAAAGTCTTTTTTCCTTTTTAGTCTATTATACAGGTTGCCCACTAATCTTCCTGCCTTGAGTCTCTGCCAGAAGTAAGTGATGGTGGCTGACTCCCATACGATAGCAAGCTCTGAATAAATAGTCTTTGCTCATTCTCATTTGGGTGGCCTTCATTTATTTCCACAGCAGTACTGCTTTATCAAAAGATTTTCTTCCACCAGCCTCTTGGAATCCACTAAATCTGTGACTCACAGGGTCGATTCCTAGTTATTTGCTTTAACTTAATCTTTTATATTAATATTTTCTCTCTTTAATTTCAGGTATCCCTGTTTAAGATGTCTGGACTTCTGGATTCTAAAACAATTGACTTTTGCTGTAACCTCTCGACTGATGGTTCAACTTATTTTATATCAACAACACCAACAAAAGTCCTAGAGAGATCCTACTTTGTCTCACTCAGAAGGTTTATGCTTGTCTTTTAGTTGTTCAGAAACCTACTCTATTCCTTCAAATTGAGCGAAAGTAGAGATTGACAATGTTGGACTTTATCTGAGCTCTGTATTCCTAGAAAACAGTGATAGTTAATAAATCCCCCATATTTTGTTTCCAGGAAAGGAGTTACTGAAAAGAGGCACCACTCTTCTCCATATAATTTATATAAGACTCCCAGTCCATTCTTTTTCATGACTTCAATAAAAATTGTGTATAGATATATGGACAACTATTATTTGTCAAAGATGCCAAGACCATTGAATGGGAAAAGAATAATGTTTTCAACAAATGATTCTGGGACAACTGGATATAGTCACAGAAGAATTAAGTTGGATCCTTACCTCACACTATATGAAAATTAAGCAAAATGGATTAAAAAATCTAAGTGTAAGAGCTAAAACTATAGAATTCTTAGAAGAATACAGAGGTAAATCTTCATGATTTGGCAATGGGTTTTTAGATATGACCCCAGAACATAAGCAACAAGAGGAAAAACATAAATTAAGCTTCATCAAAATAAAATTTTTATGTTTCAAAGATTTCTATCAAGAAGGTAGAAAGACAACCTAAAGACTACAGATATATTTGAAAATCATATATCTGATAAGGAATTTGTACATACATAAAGATTTCTTACATAAAGAATTCTTACAACTGAATAATAAAAATAAGAAATAATACAAAAAGAGCAAAGGATCTCAATAGACATTGTTCCAAAGAAGATATACAAATGGCTGATAGTCATATGAAAATATGCTGTTGATCATTAGTCATCAAGTAAATGCAAATCATAACCACAATGAGATATTACTTCATACCCAGTAGGCTAGAATCAAAATATAAGATAATAATAAGTGTTGGGAAGGATGTAGAGAAACCAGAAACCTTGTGGACTGCTAGTGGGAAAGCAAAATCACAACTACTTTGGAAAACAATCTGACAAGTCCTTCAAATGACAGAAAAATAGGTGATTGGTTGCTTAGGGATGGAAAGGATGGTAGGGAGGAGGGGATGGTAGGCGATAGCTAAATCATATTTTTTTTTCCAATTGAGATGATAACAATATTCTAAAAATTATTGTAGTGATGGCTTTAAATTTATAAATAAAAATAATGGTACATTTTAAATGAATGAATTTTGTGGTATGTGAATTATGTCTCAAGAGAGTTGTAAAAACAAAAGAAAACAAATGACCCATGTTTGTAGATGTTTAGCTCACTATAGCCTGTTTCCCGAATATAGGAAACTGGGAGCCCATTTTGAACTACCTTTGTCCTTTTTAATTCAAACTGTCAGCATTTTCACCAATATGATTCTCTTAAAAATTTTGTAGGTTTACACTGTTGATGGGAATGCAAGTTAGTACAGTCACTCTGAAACAAAAAACAGTATGGAGATGCCTCAGAAAGTTAAAAACAAAGCTACTGCACAACCCAACAATACTAAGTATTTACTCAAAGTACACAAATGTAGTGATCCAAAGGGGCACCTGCACCCCAATGTTTATAGCAGCAATGTTCACAATGGCAAACTATGGGAAGAGCCCAAATGTCCATCGACAGATGAGTGGATAAAGAACATGTGATATATATATATATATATATATATATATATATATATATATATATCATCAAAAAATCTGAAATTTTACCATTTGCAATGACGTGGATAGAACTAGAGGGTATTATGCTAAGCAAAATAATCAGAGTAAGGCAATTATATGATTTCACTCATATGTGGAATTTAAGAAACAAAACAGGAGCATAGGGAAGTGAGGGAAAAATAAAAGAATACAAAAATCAGAGAAGGACAAAAACCATAAGAGACTCTTACATAGGAAACAAACTGAGGGTTCCTGGAAGGAGGTGCATGGAGGATGGAGTAACTGGATAATGGGCATTAAGGAGGGCACATGACATAATAAGCACTGGGTGTGACATGCAACTGATGAATAACTGCACTCTACCTCTGAAACTAATGAGACACTATATGTTAATCGAATTTAAATAAAATAAAATCAAAACTTTTGTAGGTTTTTTTTATGAACTTGATTAGAGGTTCACTCTATGACACAAAAGCTTCCTCCACAATTATTTTTGAGTCAGACCTTCTAGTCCTGGCTGCCCAAGAAGAAGAAGAAGATCAGCTCTTTTATCTTCCCGAGAGCATCTACTATGTACCACCTTCAGTATTTCAAGGAGATCTTAAAAAAGGTTTTACAGTTACCCATTGCTATACAACAAACCATACCAAAACCTAGTGAATTAAAACAGTCATGATTGTTAATAGGTCTGAGAGTTTGGAGATTCCTATGTTGATTTTGCCTGGATTCACATATGTGTTGTCTCAGCTAGAGATTCAGCTGTACTGGAAGGTGCAAAGGGACCTCACTCACGTGTTTGGCCATTGGTTTTAGCTTTTGGCTGAGATTCTTCAGTTTTTCTCTTCATGGTCTTTCGTCTGTCAGTAGGTTAGTTCAGCTGCCTTCCCTGGCTGTCTCAGGGATGTTTTCTGAGGTAGGAGAAGTAGAAGAAACAAGACTTTTTAAAACTTAACCCCAAAGTCACATTATGTCATTTCTACCGTATTCCATTGGTCAAAGTAAGTTATAGCCTAGCCTAGATTCAAGAGGATGGAGAAACAGATTCCACAGCCAGGCGAGGGGGAAGGCAAAATCATATTTTAATATAGTGTCTTACTGAGATAGGAGGGGTTAGGGCATTAAACCATTTGCCACCGTCCTTACAAGGATTTTGGATTTTATCCTCCAGTCCTTGGGGCATCTCTGAAATGTATGAATAGGAGGGAATTCTATGATTAGTTTGTGTGTTAGAAAGATGACTCTGAGGGCAGTGTGAAGATGGACAGAAGAGGGGAAAGACAGAAGTTAGGCAAAATATATTCAGAAAAATAATAAAATCATCCATTTGGAGATGATAAGGGCTTGACTAGAGATTGGAGGAGCTAGTAAGTGTGTAGACTTTAAAACCTTACTCAGTGTTAGGCAAGTGTCAAGATTTTATTTAGTGTAGCAACTCACTATACCACGACTGTATGTATATGTAATAAATTATATGTAGCATTCCTAATAGTATATATTTGTGATATAGACTATATCAAGTGAAAGGAAATAATAAGCATAGAGTCTGGGGTGAGGACTATCTTAGTTGAGGAATGTAAGCTACTACAAAAGTTTTGGACTTGTGATTGAGTAGTAGGCTTATACATGCCTGTAATATTGCTAAAAGAAAGAGAAAAGGAAATGGTTATAGACCAAAGATGTAAGCATATGAAGTAAGGATTGTTTTTTATATATTTTGTCCTGGAATGAAAACAGTAAAGCTAATCTGCTTTGTGAACCTCCAGTAAGATGGATTAGTATGTACTTTGCAGCATTCACCAAACTCGCTTGGTCTGGAATCATTTGTCCACAGATGAATTGTAGAAGGTGCCATGGCACTTATCATTTCACAGATGAAGAAATTGAATTTATGAGATGTAAAACAAACTTACTTTTCTTTCTAAAAAAAAAAACACACAAAAACTTACTTTTCTATCTTATTCTGAGTTTTCTTTCTCTTTCTTTTTCTTTCTCCCTCCCCCTCCTCTTTCTTCTTTCTTTCTTTCTTTCTTTCTTTCTTTCTTTCTTTCTTTCTTTCTTTCTTTTCTTTCTTTCCCTTCCTTCCTTCCTTCCTTTCTTTCTTTCTTTCTTTCTTTCTTTCTTTCTTTCTTTCTTTCTTTCTTTCTTTCTTCTTTTCTTTTTTTCCTTTCTTTCTCCACCCCTTTTACTGATCTGTTATATTTTTATTAGTTAGTAACCAGTCAGTAACATTTAACAAGGACTGATTAAAAGGTCCTGTGAATACCATAAAAGTAAAAATCATATTCTAGTCTCCAGAGATGTGCTGTCTAATACAATGGCTACAAGCCATCTGCGGCTTTAAGCACTTGAAATGTGGATAGTGTAGGCAAGAAATTAAATTTCTAATTTGATTTAATGTTAATTAATTTTGTTTAAAAATTAAAATATTTTTCCATTAATTGTAACTTTGCTTTGGTAGGACAATATTTCACTTAAAGTCTTGAAAATGTAGCATCCAAATTGAGATCTGTTATAAGCATAAGATATGCATTGAATCTGGAATATGGTTGGATGAACAGATTTTATCTTATTTTATTTTATTTTATTTCATTTCATTTTTAAACATACTTTATTTATTTATTCATGAGAGACACACAGAGAGAGGCAGAGACATAGGCAGAGGGAGAAGCAGGCTCCCTGTGGGGAGCCCGATGTGGGACTCGATCTGGGACCCTAGGATCACTATTCCTGAGCCTAAGGCAGATACTCAACCACTGAGCCATCCAGGCATCCCAGGAACAGATTTTAGAAGCAGAAAGAATCCATTCTATTTGGACATGTAGAAAGGGAACATATTATAAAGAAAGGTTGTAAAATATTTCATTAATAATTTTTATATTTATTATCTAAGAAAATGGTAATTTTTTATATATTGGGATGAGTAAAATATATGATTAAAATTAACTTCAGGGATCCCTGGGTGGCTCAGCGGTTTAGGACCTGCCTTCAACCCAGGGCCTGATCCTGGAGTCCCCAGGATCGAGTCCCGCGTCAGGCTTCCTGCATGGAGCCTGCTTCTCCCTCTGCCTGTGTCTCTGTCTCTCTCTGTGTATCTCTCATGAATGAATAAATAAAATCTTAAAAAATTAATTTCACCTTTCTTACTATTTTTAATAAGGCTTCTAGAAAAATTAAAATATCATATGTTGCCCATATTTGCTTCTATTTAATAGCACTGCCATAGCAATTTTTTACTTCTCAGGCAAAAATACAAAGTACAAACTTTGAGACTGTACCTTCCATGTGACCTCATAAACATCCAAAGAGAAAAATGCCCTTCTATGGCTGTAAAGCTTTTACATTGTTAGCTGTCACTGGCCCTCCATAACATGGGTGTTATGGAGTCTAGGGTCTGCAAGGGCAGGTCTAGGGTAGGAAAGGAGGGGGATCTGTTTCTCTGTAGCAATAGCCTCTAGACAGACAGCATTCATGACTGATTAGAGGCCTCTGCTTGACTTCTCTGCTTAATCAATCTTGGCAATCCTTTATTGCTTGCTTGACTAAAACATGGCGGC